TTTGTGTTGGAGATAAGCTTGAGTAGGCGTTTAAAGGGAATGTTTAAAATTGTTTAAATGCTCTAAGTCACTAGAAGGTCACCTCTAAGACACCTCTACTCTAATGGGTAAATGTCCAGTGATTGGAGACGCTCTTCATTAAACTTGAATTTGAGTCCCTGAACTGTTTTCGTGGCTCGCCATCGGATACGTTCCATCATAGTCTTATCCTTTTGGAGTGAGTAAGAAAATACTATTTTTTCATACTCTAAATGGGGACGATTGAAACTGTTGATCATATGGAATTCCTTCCGTTGAATTGGCCGAGGTTGCCCTTCCACGTTACCAGTGCAAGGTTTTCTCGAAAAGCATTTTGTCGCGGTTGGCGTAAGACTTCGAACTGTAGGGTACCAACATTCATAGATCTTTTCCAACTTAAGATACTTCTAGAAAGGAGTTGCCTGAGTCTCAGTTGTAGTCTGAAACATGTCTCAGATGAACCACCTTACACCTTGAAGTGTTAGAGGTAAGCTAGTTGTTGTCCGCCCGAATCTGAAGTTCATTCAGATCCTTCTGAGGTGCAGGTTCGCCCTCTTGGTCGCATACTTCTCCACAGAGTTTCAAATCGTCAGCAACAGTAATAAACCTGATGGTAACTGCTGTGGAAGATCGTTTATATAAATCAAGAAAAATGGGGGCTCAGTTCTGAACTTTGCTGGGCCCCAGTAGGACAATCCATAGCCTAAGAGAAATCAAACTTAACCCTGACGAAAAAATGTCGATTATATAGATATGTGGTGAGCTGATCAGTTAAGGGTGATTTGATACCTACGCGTTTGAGCTTACTGATAGGATATCTGTGGTTGACCCTATGAAAAGCTTTTGAGAAGCCAAGATAAAGTATGTCACCCTTCCCATTGAGATCAAGGATGGTTGTCTATCTGTCCACTGCAGTCAGCAGTTTGGTTATAAGTGAAGTGATATCTTCTGAAACCATGTTGTTGGGGTGATGAAACATTTATAGATAGTAAGTGGTCGTGCATACCGTCGCATACGAGGGAATCAATAAGTTTTGAGGGTATTGAGAGAAGTGCTACTGGCCTATAGCTTGGTTCACTGCCTCAACCTCCTCTGAAAATTGGCGTGATGTGAGCCAGCTCAAAATATTTTTGGTAATGTGCCCCGGCTTAGCGAGTGTAAGAACATCACGCTAAAGTGTTGTCAAAACTGAAGCTGCTTCCCTCAGTGTAGCAGAATGAACTATATCTGAACCAGGAGAAATGTCTTTTTTAGGTGCTGCAGCTTCCAGTATATCAAGTCAGCGCTCAGGTTCATCTCTGAAAGTCCTATGGAGTTGTGGGTAGAACTTTAATCAATACAGTTAGTGTGGGTCGGTAGAAGTGTCCGAGAATACTGCTCTACTTGAAGGTCAGAGGAGTCACCGTAGTTGTCACTCGGGCCATTTGGACCTAGCTGTAGAGAAACCACAGTTTTGGCTTGTCGAAGAAAGGCTACATAACGGAATAAGCTTTTCGGATTGGAAACAAATTTATCGATGAGCTTTATCTGGTACTGAAGCCTGTTTTCTCTAATTACTTTAGTGCATATAATACCTATATGTTTGTATTACTCGTATGTGCCGTTGTAACCAGTTTGTTTACAATCCGCCCAACAGTATGTAGTGGCATTAGGCCCTAACTACACAATCCTGAAAGCTGAACACCAGACAATTGGGGAAATATGTATTCAACATTTAACGCGGAGAAAAACCTCAAGATAAGGAAGGCGGGAACAGTGAATTGAACTGATTCAAACTGATCGAATGGCATGGCTCGGCATCGCAGGTGTGGTGTTACTTATGCAACATTATTTTTATCCATATTAAATATATTGTTCTATCTCTAGTCTAAACGTGTTTTCATCATGTATTGATAGTTGTTACAACGCAATGAATCAGCGTAGATAATGATGTGACTTCCACTTAAAATCTTGTAGACCAGGCAGTTACATCATAACGAATTCACAATTTTAGGATTAGGTTTATTATTAGTGCAGTACTAATAACATAGTAGACCATAATTCTACAAGCGCATTTTGCGGCTTGGCAAACAAAGAGTGTGGTTCTTGATGACTGTAGGTTATTCGTAGATTTCGCGGACTATTTGAGGAACAGACTGCTTTGTAGCACTTAGGATTGCGTTCAGTAAGAAATCCCAGTGATCGTCGACCTCACGTTGAGGGTGAACTTCCCGGTCCACCTTCTGTATATTGCCCTGTAAAGCTGACAGATTCAATCGTTTGAAGTTCTGTCGCCTGTTGTTGGTAGGATGTCTTAGCTCAGATTCGCTGATAAAGTTGAAGGCTTTGACGGCGTAATCGCTTTTCCCCAGGGGAGCCAGGATTGAGAGGTTTTCAGCTAGGAATTCTTCATTTGTAAATACTCAGTCCGACAGCGATGACATCTGACCGTTTCTTTAATGAGTTGCCAACTTCACATTTTCGAGTAACTCCAGATCCTAAATGAGGTTGAAGAACCGAGCTTCAGTGGAGTTTTCACTTCCAATATTCGCATATTTCGCGAAATTGGTATTAGGAAGATTGAATTTTCCTAGAATCAGGATATGAGTGAATCCGAGATAAATAGAGAGGGATAATCTTTCCAGCACATGGTGTCAGCAGTGGGCTTCTTGTATGTAAATCTAACTAGACACCTCGAGGTAGTAGACAGTCTTGCTGAGCTCCATACGCATTTATCAAGATTGATAAACTCTTGGTTGTGCACATGACGTATCTCCATGCAGAATCGTAAGTATAAGGAACTCTACCACCAATTCCTGGTTTTCTGTCATTGCAAAACAAAGACATTCCGAGGATTGCTAGTTCCAGATCCGTAAACTGAGACATCCAAGTTTTAGGTATTCCTATCACATGAGCATTAGTAGCACTGCTCAATTCATGTAGTTCATCCATTTCCTTCGGTAAATTCGCGGCGTTCATGTATAAGCAGTTTAGACCTTCAATTTGAAACGCATGAGCTTCCCCGCCCTGTTTATCTGTATGAGCCTCATGTGAATGGACAGGCAACCTACTTACGCGGGGTTTTTTGAGTCGGCAACCCCTGTCATTTCTACGTTTTTTAATATCTAGGCAGTCCACAAGTGGAATAGTCAGCTTCAACTTGCTTTTCTTCTTGGTCCTAGCATCATGTAGCCTATCCAGTTGCATATGGACTCCTGTTGGAACGAAATGCTTCCAGAGTTGCAGCTGAGATATGTGAGTACGGGAAGGTAATTTTCATCAACCAGGGTTTAGAACCCTCGGCCTACTTGGCTAGTCTTACCACGTGTTGAGTCAATATGTTCTAAAGCTTCAATGGCAGCTTGACGAATTTCCATTCGTGAATATCAGATTTTGTGTGGTCAAGGTCCGTGTTTTCCGGCAAACCTTGCACAATAATATTCCTTCCGCGGAAACATTTCTCGCATGACTCCCTGGGAATGTTTTTGATGAGATTGCGCTTAGAGTACGGTATATCAGGCAGTACTTCAATAAATGACTAGCCAGTAATACATCCTCTACTTCAGCAGCGTTTGTATGCTTCACACGAAATAGTTTCGAATTATTTTGGTGGTTGGAATCTTCTCCACGTGAGCTATATGACCGCCGAAGACACTATTTTGAGAAGTTTGAGCTTCCTGTTTAATTTTTCCAAGATTATCCCGTCATATTTGTCCCGAAGACTGAGGGGAAAGTCAGAGCTGACTTTAATGTTCATAGTTACGAGGGAATTCTCGCAAACTGTGATTGCTTTCCCAGGTTTTTGGGTACGTTAAGCTTGAGGACCTTGTTGTTTGGTGATTAAAGCGCGTTTTGAATTCCTGTGCTCCCTGCTAACAGGTTGGACAGTCTTAGGAGTAGACTGTACGGTCAAATCACCAATCGATTTAGCTACAATACCTGGAATGTCCTACTTCTTAGACTCTGATACCCGGTACTTTTTAAATTTGTTGACAGGATCCAATCGCCTGCAAAGTTTTTGGGGATTTGTTGGGGTATTCAGAAAATACCCCAGAAATTATCCAATGCTATTCTCGAATGAGAAATTGTGCCGTTTCCCCATTGGTCAATATTCTTCCAGCGTGTCATTTTCCCGTTGGTCAATATTTATTTGTGTCATTTCCTGGAGGTCAAATCTTGTACAAATGTTACTTCCTATTTTATGGTACGATGTAGTCTGTTTGTTTGGTATGTTAACAGAGTATGTTTGAAATATAATGATTCATATCACAGAGGTTGAGACTTGCGTTCTGGACTCAACTGGATGGGCTAGACAGGGAAGCAGGGCCAATCAGAACTCCAGGCTGTTCTTACGTGTTTTGCGCGTCTTTGGTCCGATCGATAATTCTCTGCCATCGCTGTCCTCCGATCCGCGTGCGTCCCAACACATAACAGGATTGTCGTTTCATACAGAGATCCTGTGCTGGATGACCAAAGTCAGCTGGGGGTGTCTACTACCGCCGATGTTATGATGGTGCTGAGCTTCAGCATGTCCTCACTAGTTTTGATGTATGTTCCGTCGATAATTGCGTTGTCGAGGTCCATCTTCCTTCCTTCAATGAGCGTCTTTTTTTGTTCACCCATACCTGGAATACCTTTTTCAGGTTTGCTGACAACTATTTCTGCAGACTTGTCGATTAAATGATGATGTTGCTCAACGAAACCTCAGCATTCATTTCGTACGCGGCACATACCCACCTACGAGGGAGTTACTAAGTCAGTCGTAAGGAGCTACTGTATAGCCTGTGCATGATTCGCGGAACCATACCTTACACTTGTCACACTGAATGCCAAAGGGGACAGAAAAACGGCATTTGGGCCGCTTGCATGAAGTCTTCATGGTTATTGTTACGTCCAAGTTTTTGCTCCTTCCCGTTATTGAAGTACGGTATGTCGATCTATTTGTAATTTACGAACCCAAATTAACAACAGAACCAAAAACCAAATCAGGTAACAAGTTTATTCGCAATTCACAAATAGTCGACCAAATGTCGTTCTAACAACAATAATTATTATAATAACTACAAAACAAACCTTCAATTTTATAGGTTCCCGGAGCAAAACTTCCAATTAACAAGCCAAAGATAAACAGAAACCAAAAAAATGTCCGAAATAATAATATAAACAAACAAGTTCAGAAGTTACGTAAAACAAATACATCCAAAAACCAGTGAAATTAATGATATTTAATATAAAGTTTTTAATCAGCCAAATGTCTTCAGTTCTCCCGTAACACTCCCGACCAAAAGAACCTTGGTTCTTTTCACAGACAAAATAGGTAACAGCGATCCAAGTATGTGCATCGCAAGCAATCAACAACAAACATTCAATATACCGACAACCTCGTGATCCCTAGGACTTACACCAGTACGCCTAGGGATCCGATTAACTACCTACCATCTGCCGCTTCAAGAAGACACAGTTTACGTATATCTCTCACTAGAATACCCTTTCTCGTCCTCAGCTCTACCTGTCTTACTAGTCTATCCTTACTTGGTATCACTCTTTGTACTAGACCTAAGGGCCACTTGTTTTTCTCGGAAAAGTCAGAACATATCATTACTAAGTCACCCTCACGTATATTCCTCTCTAGTTGTGTCCACTTGTAACGACGCTGCAATAGTGATACATGTTCCTTAGACCAACGTCTCCAAAATACTTGTGCCAAATAATTCGCTTGCTTCCATCTCTTAGAATACCTGTCATTAGATAGAGTGTTAGCGAATTCTGCAACATTCTCTCGCAATAGTAATAGTTTCGCTGGTGTTATTGCATCAAGATCCTTCGGGTCGTCTGTAACGGGAACCAAAGGTCGATTGTTAATTATACGTTCAGCCTCTGTCATGAAAGTTTCAAGACATTCATCTGTTAAAGGTTGTTCCTTTACAAGAGTACTCAATACCCTACGTACAGAGCGAATCATGCGCTCCCACACTCCTCCCCAATGACTAGCAGCCGGAGGATTGAAATGCCAGTCAATCCCCTTTTTTAGCAAATCAGAGTGTATACGTTCCTGTACCCAACCCTGAAGACATTTTCTTAGTTCATGTTCAGCCCCCACTAGATTTGATCCATTATCACTGTAGATCTCCTTTGGATAACCTCTCCTGCTGACAAATCTCATTAGTGCCATGATAAATGAGTCGGTGGTAAAACTATATGCCACCTCCAGATGCACGGCTCTCAATTTTAAACAAGTGAATACACTGTTACGGGAGAACTGAAGACATTTGGCTGATTAAAAACTTTATATTAAATATCATTAATTTCACTGGTTTTTGGATGTATTTGTTTTACTTAACTTCTGAACTTGTTTGTTTATATTATTATTTCGGACATTTTTTTGGTTTCTGTTTATCTTTGGCTTGTTAATTGGAAGTTTTGCTCCGGGAACCTATAAAATTGAAGGTTTGTTTTGTAGTTATTATAATAATTATTGTTGTTAGAACGACATTTGGTCGACTATTTGTGAATTGCGAATAAACTTGTTACCTGATTTGGTTTTGGTTCTGTTGTTAATTTGGGTTCGTAAATTACAAATAGACCGACATACCGTACTTCAATAACGGGAAGGAGCAAAAACTTGGACGTAACATAAAGTTCTTCAATTTTGGTTCTGTTGTAATACATTGGATTCGTCTGGACATTTTGGGTCCAATTTTTGGTCATATTGGTCGAATTCGCTTGGATTAATTCCTATTAGTTTTGGTAACCGATTCTTTCGAACAAAGGCATACGATGGAAACGAGAAGCAAAAAACCGAAGGAAAATGACGAAATGGATGGTAAAATTTCTAAAGCTGTCTGTGGTATGTCTGAATTTAATAATGATAAACGTGATGATATTAGTGTTAATAGTATGTCCTCAGCTCAGTTTAGTACTTCTAGATTGAGGTTAGATAAGGCATTACTAAAGAAGAAAATTTTGGAAAAGAGGCTTGAGTTAGAAAGGCAGCTTAAGATGTTAGAGCTTCAAGAGGAGATTGATATGGCCGAATTGGAATGTAAGGTCATAGAAAACGATAACAGACTGCCAGTAGACAGGTCTGAGATAAATGCTAAGGTGGAAGGGTACTTGGATTGTGACACTGCGTGTAATGAGCATTCCGGGGAGGTATTTAACAACACAAAATGCGATTGGATTAATGAATTAAAGGATACGTTACGTACTACGGTTAATAGTACGGTTTTGCCTAAGATTGATATGATGTTTTTTGATGGACAACCGAGCCAGTACCACCGATTTATTAGTCAGTTTACAAGCATTATCGAGAGTAAACTGTCCGACAAATGCCAGTTGTTGTCATATTTGTCATACTATTGTAAAGGAAAGGCCAGAACGGCTATTGAAGCTTGTATTTCTTTGCCCAGTCATTTGGGTTACGATAGAGCCAAACAAATTTTATATGATCTATTTGGTAAAGAACACCTTGTCGCTCGTAATCTTATTACTGAATTACTCAACCACAAATCGGTTGAAGGATCCGCCGATGGTTTAACTGACTTCGCAATTAAGCTACGTAATGTATGCATAACGTTGAAGGAAATGGGGTATATGTCTGATGTGAATTCTACGGCTAATCTGGAAATAATTGTGTCACGTTTACCTTTAGAATTGCAGAATAAATGGGTGGAAGCTGCCGATAGGATCATGATGGCTGGTAGGGAGCCGATCTTTGAAGAATTAGTAATGTTTGTAGAAGAAAGAGCCAGGATTGCTCGATCACGTTTTGGTAGATTGGTACATTGTAACTCAAAGTTCCGTAAAGGTAATTATGAAGGCCACGTTGATAGAAGATCACGCCTCAATGTAGTTAAGCGGGAACCAAGCACTTCACTCAAGACTTTAAGTTGCGAAATTTGCTTTGGTGATCACAAAGAGAAAGATTGTATGAAGTTATCGAAAATGAATGTTACAGAAAGAAGACTGGAAGTTAGAAGACGGGGTCTATGTTACCTGTGTTTAAGGAAGGGTCACATAGCCAAGTCGTGTAACTCGGACATAAAGTGTGACGTTGATAATTGTAAGATTCGGCATAATCCATTATTACATATTGATGCTAATAATAAACATATGGTGAACTTTGCTAAGGATTTCAACTCCTCAAAGGTTTGTTTGGGTATTATTCCGGTTAGACTATACGGCCCCAAAGGATGTTTGGAAACATACGCCCTTCTAGACAGTGGTTCAGATACCTCTATTGTATGTGAAGAGTTAATTAATCGGTTGGGTATCGAAGGTAAGGAGACTTCGATAAGGGTGACGACTGTGAATGGAACTTCTACTTGTGAGTGTTTGGAAGTAAATTTAGAGGTATTTTCGTTAGATGAACGGGGTTCTATAAAGATCAACAAGGCTTATACGACCAAGAAACTTCCGATCGATCATGCAGAACCTTTAACCGAACTCCAGCTGAGAAGGTGGAAACATTTAAGGGACATAACCCTTCCGAGGTTGCAAAGTAATCTGGTAGGAATATTGATTGGGTGTGATGCTCCTGATGCACATTGGGTACTTGAACAACGCCTGGGTGATAGGAAGCATCCGTTTGGTGTGCGTACTCATCTCGGTTGGATGATTTTAGGTCCTAAAGGAGTATCGAGGTCTCTACATCAAGTTCAGTGGTGTCATTGTTCTACTAATGATATTTTGCAAAATATAGAAAGATTATATAATCATGAGTTTGAGGATGCAGATGTGTTTCGTAATGGATATTCTGTCGAAGATAAAAGAGCTCTGGAAATAGTAAATAATTCCTTTAGACTGGAGGGTGGCCATTTCCAAGTTGGTCTACCGTGGAAGTATGATAAGCCAAGACTACCGAATAATTTGGAACTAGCGGAACGCAGACTAGAGTGTTTAAGGAAGAGGTTTATGAAGGATAATAGTCTTCTGGAGAAATATCAAGCTGTAATGAATAAGCATTTAAGTAAGGGCTACATCATTGAAGCTAGTAAGGAGGGATTTGACCGTGATGCTGTTTGTTGGTATATTCCTCATCATCCTGTTATCAACCCTAAAAAGCCTGGAAAATTGAGAATTGTTTTTGATTGTGCAGCTGTCTATCAAGGTTGCTCTCTTAATGATCAGCTTTTGAGAGGACCAAATACTGTAAATAGTTTAATTGGTATACTTCTACGATTCAGATTAGCTAACGTAGCATTAGCCGCTGACATCGAGGAGATGTTTCTTCAAGTAAAGATCCCGAGACAAGATAGAGGAGCGTTTCGACTATTGTGGTGGGAAGACGGTGATATAAGACAAAGGGCTAAGGAATACTGTTTAACAGTCCATCCGTTTGGAGCCGTGTCCTCTCCTTTTTGCGCTAATTTCGCTCTTAGGAAAACGGTAGATATATTTGGTAAAGAATTGAATAAAAATGTTCAAGAAGTCGTAGATAAGAGTTTCTATGTCGACGATTATTTAGCCTCAATTAATAATGTGCAGGATGCAATCGAGCTTGCAAAAGCCCTAGGTTTACTCCTCAGAAAAGGTGGATTCAGACTTACCAAGTGGATAAGTAACTGTTTACAGGTTCTCGAATCAATTGATCCAGATGAGAGAGCAGAAGCCGTAAGAGAAATTGACTTTGAAAGACTTCCTACGGAACGCACATTGGGATTATTTTGGAATACTATGGTTGATGCGTTTGAATTTAAAGTTCGCGTACCGAAACGCCCCCTCACTAGGCGAGGTATATTGTCGAGTGTAGCCTCACTTTACGATCCCTTGGGATTGTTAGCACCATTTATACTTCCTATGAAGCAGTTACTTCAGCGCTTAGGTAAGTTGGGACTAGGATGGGACGAAGAGATTCCAAGTGAGGAATGCAAACGCTGGTTAGAGATTCTAAGTGAACTTCAGAGGGTTGAGAACGTTAGTTTTCCACGTTGTGTATTGTTTCCACAATCAGATCGCTCGCTTCTGGAACTTCATATTTTCTGTGACGCCTCGGAAATTGGATATGGTGCAGTGGCATACATCCGATCTTTCATCCTTGACACTGGAATATATTCTCGTCTTATTACGGCTAAAGCAAGAGTAACCCCCTTGAAGGTTCAAACTATAACGCGCTTGGAACTTACGGCAACAGTGTTAGCAGCGCGTATGGGGTCCCAGCTGCAGTCCGAGTTAGATATTAAGTTTGCAGAAGTTAATTTTTGGACGGATTCCATGATTGTCTTACACTATATTAGAAATGAGAAAAGCCAGTTTAAAACATTCATAGCAAACCGGATTTCGACTATTCACAGTCTTACTAAGGTGGACCAATGGAGATTCGTACCTTCTAAGGAGAACGTAGCAGACTTTGCATCCAGAGGGGTAAGGTTCAACATCGATCATGTCAAGGTATGGGAGGAAGGACCTCACTTTTTGAGGAAGCCTAAGGAGTGTTGGCCTGATGCAAATGTACAAGATCCTGAACCCCATCTCTTGGAATTAAAGAAGGCAATGTCCATGCATGTAATGGTTGGAGAATCCACTGTTGATCTACTTATTAATTATTATTCAGATTGGACTAGATTACTTAAGGCTGTTGCATGGATGATCCGATTTAAGCAATATTTGTTAATAATGTATTCTGGCAGAGGTGATCTATCCCTACAGGTGGGTATGCTCAGAGTTGATGAACTAAATTTAGCTTGTTTAGATTTAATTCGATATGTCCAAAGCATAGTATTTCGGAAAGAGATTGAAATGTTGTCGTCTGATAACATTAGCAAGGTGAAAATAACGAATTCACCCTTACGAATCTTAAATCCAATGATCATAGACGGATTATTGTGTGTCGGTGGTCGACTTCAAATTAGTTCCTGGTCCGAGTCGAGGAAGCATCCCATAATATTACCATCGAAGCACACAATTACAAATTTGATTCTACGGTATTATCATGTTTTGGAGGGACATGTCGGAGCTACACAGGTAATGGCGACGGTCAGAGAAAGATTTTGGGTGCTGAGGGGCGGTGTGGCCATGAGGAGAGTGATAAAGGATTGTGTTTATTGTAAAAGAAGGAATGCTCGTCCCATTCAGCAACTAATGGTGCCATTACCTTCGATCAGGATAGAAGGAGGTGACTATCCGTTCTTATCAGTTGGGGTAGATTATTTTGGACCCCTTATGGTCAAACATGGTAGAAATACTGAGAAGCGGTATGGTTGTGTATTCACTTGTTTAAAATTGAGAGCCGTGCATCTGGAGGTGGC